ATTTAAATTGTTCCACGTACACGACCTAGATTTTTCAGAAGCTACCCATCACCCTCTCAGTTTTCTTTGTCGGGTAAAGAACTAACCATAATTATATGACAAACAACTTATGAAGAATTTCAATCGGTCTCTGAGTCACTATGGACACCACATTGAAAGGGTTAACACCGAAAAGTTCAAAAGAGTATTTGGGTGTCAAGACCGGCGGATAAAATAAAGGAAGAAGGCATAACATCGAGGGGGAGGAAATGATCACTCAAGGAAAGACACAACAAAGTAAGGTTCTTCAAAACTCACCAACTTTGCTTATATAGTACAAAGTGAAAGTCAAACCGACGCAGGGGCATCAAGGTCTTTTCAATGTGACAAATAAAGTCAAATCAGACACACATTACGATATGAAAAAATTAAAAAATTCATTTAAATAAAAGCATTTATATTTAGATCCACTCGATTACAACTGAGCAACCGAAGAGAAAATATTTAATGAAATCATTAGTCATTCCCACAATGGGGACATAACCTAGTTGAGACAGTCGCATGTATACTAACTCACCTTCCGATCAAAATCTACCTTCCAAATCTACTTCAAATTGAATATGAGAAATCAAAGCCAACTCCCGAATAGGGCTGTAAAAATGGCTCGTTATTCGGGAACAGCTCATGTTCAACTCGTTAAGAAACTCGTGTTCATCTCGTTCGCTAAGTTAACGAGTTAAACACGAACAACACGAACTAATATTTGTTCATTCGTGTTCTGCTCGTTTTGACTCGAAATACTACTAATCAATTATATATATATATATATATATGATGAGTCGTATTTTTATAAAAAACATTAATTGACTACAAAACTACAAAGATTTATAATCAATTAAAATATTAATTAAGAAAATAGAATTAAAATTATTAAATTAGATTCAAATGATGTTTTAATATAAACAATAATTTTTAAATCTTGCACCAATACTTAACATTTTATGGCTACGTGATTAGGGTTGTCAAAACGACTTTTTGTTCGTGAACAACTCGTGTTTGGCTCGCTGAGCAAAGGAGACGAACACGAGCACACTTTTTGAGCTCTGGTTTACACCCCTACTCCCGGATAGCCGACACTTTAACCTGTAGCACTGCAACTTCCCCTTGAAAGACGAACTCCAGAGTTTGCATCGCCACCAGTTCCTCCTCCAGCCTCTCTAGTTGCCTCCAGTATTAGAAAGGCTTTAGCCTCACGGGGTTAACGCTCAGTAGAGCCAAATAGCCCCGACACGTCGATCACTCC